TCTATACGAGGTGTTGGATACTTGTTTTTAACCGTAACTCGGTTCAACTTTTGGTAATCAATACAAAGTCGCAAGGCTCCATCTTTATTTTTAGCAAAGAGAGCTGGTGCTCCCTAAGGCGAAGTACTAGGGCAAATGAAACCCTTATCTAGTAATTCATGGAGTTGAATCTTCAACTCACTCAACTCAACTGGTGCAAACCAATACGGTGCCATAGAAATTGGTGCTTCACTAGGCACTAAATCAATAGAGAACTCGATCTCTCGGTGAGGTGGTAAATTAGTAAGATCCTCAGGAAAAACATCCAAATACTCACAAACCACTCTTGGTAACTTAACCTGAACTTCATCATACTCTCCACTCAAGAAGCTAGCAAGAAGACAACTAAGTTTACTCCGCCCACGTAAATCATACACCGGTAGTACGACTCTACCAACTAGATCCCCCAAGAAATGAAAACAATCACCATTCAGGGTACATACAGTAACCCTCTTACGGTAGCAATCTATCACAACCTGGTATGATGATAACCAGTTCATACCCAAAATAACATCAAACCAGACATGTCCATTAATATAAAAGAAAAAGGAAGCCGGCGATCGACAATCTCTATATCATAGCCCCGACACCCCTGTTTCAAAATCATCTCGTCCCCAATAGGTGACACAACACATATAGAAGATGCTAACTATGCCAACTCTAACCCCAAAGCAGATGCAAATGCAAACGAAATAAATAAATGGGATGCACCCGTATCAATCAATACATTAGCAACCGAGTTGTAAAATAAAAAGATACCTCTCACAACAGATAGAGCTGGTACAAGATCTGGCGCGGTAACAACATACACGTGCCCCGTATGTCTCTAATTTACCAGCTCACCTCTTAGAGCATAAGACTGCTGCATTAACTAACCCGAAGAGGCTCCCTAATTAGCCCTCGAGGCCTGTATTGATTACGTTGGCTGGTGACTCTGTGTCTGTCTCGAACTCGACATACCAGGTGTGCCACCCAACTGTGGGCAAAACCTCTTCAAGTGCCCCACCTACCCATACTGATAACAAGTGAGCAGCTGGCCTTTGCCCTGACTCTGGCCCTGAGAACAGGCCGAAGATGAAGCTGATCGCTGCTCTTATCCCCTCTGTGGGCAAGTTAAAGACTTGTGGCCCAACTGACCACATTTGAAACAAGTGATGTCTCTCTGACAACCTCTCCTAGAACCCGAACTCGGCACTGGAAAGGCAGACATCGAATGCGTTCCTTGGGATTGCTGTGGGTTAGAATCCCTCTGCCTCTTGCTGTCCCCTTGTCCATCCTAACTCCTCCTAGAGCCCTTCATCCTCTCCTCCTCTGCATGCATGATAGTCTCAAGATGGGCTGCAACCTTTACAAGGCGCCCATAGTCCCTAATCATGGATCCAGCCACTCTAAACATGAGCCTAGTTCGCAGTTTCTTCTCAAACTCCACACAACGGTGTTCCTTAATTGCCACCAGCTCCGGTGCAAACCTAGATAGGTTAGTGGAAGTGGCTTCAAACTCAGCCACCGGTGTGTTTAATTGTTTGAGTTGAGAAAATTGATCCCGCAGCTTCTCCCTCACTATAGCAGGTAAGTACTTGTCGAAAGCATCAAAAAAGGCTTCCCAAGTCCATCAAATGCGCTCCCGCACATACTTCCACCACTGACCTGCGTCTCCCTTCAACTGGAAGGATGCAAAGGTCACTCTCAAACCTCCGTCTTCAATGTCGAGCATCTCAAACGTCTTCACCATCTGTTCCAACCACTCGTTAGCCTTTAGTGGCTCCTTGGGATCACCCAAAAATTCGTTTGGATTTGACCGAAAGAATTTCCTCTTCAGAAAAGACGGCCCTATTTCAGCTACATGGGCCTAGACTTGATTCTCAGCCTTGAGAATGTCCATGGATTCCTTCAATGCTCCGACCATTTCACGGGCTAAGGCGCCCATAGCCTGTTGACCTACTGGCTCAGCCATATTGGCCTGACCCACTCCTTCCTCTTGCGCCGAAATTTCATCCGGTATAGGCATCTCATGCCTCCTAGGCCTACCACGCCTACCATTACCATGACCTCGTCCTGACATCCTAATGAAGATAACAAGGAGATTACCACATTTACAAATGTGCCGTAGCTAATTCACTCGCGTCCTAATACGATGGACAACTGTAATTCACTCCACATAAGCACATAATCACATAAACACATATGAATTTCATTTCCGGATAATGACCGTCCCGTGGCATTGCTAGAGTTTTAGTTAGAAACGGCAGTGATCAAGTGCCTTTCCAACAGGACTTCTAGAAACCCATGGACCTGATCAACATCCTAGAAATTTAAATCTCATACCCATATAATCACATAAGCATGTTATCATATAAGCATATAAAATCCATAGTTAAGTCTCTAACAAGCGAGACAAACTCATTGTGATACTAACCACGTCCCACGTACCCAAAGTAAACCCTGTATGCTCTGATACCAAGTTGTAAGGCCCCCAAAATATAATATAATTAATCCATCCCATAAGATCTATGAACATAATAAAATGGTATACTACATTCAACAGAGTTTATATCACAAAAGAGGTATTACATGCATTATACATTTATAAATGTTCATCCTGAATCTATAGCATGTAATAGTAGATTAATAACTATAAAATAAATGCCCTACGGGCTTACATCTTTCCAAGTTATCACTTGGTTACAACAAAAGGAAGAGTCCTAAGCTCTATATGTAAAGACCTCGGTTTGAATAAACATTTAAACACATCATAATAAAATAAAGCCTTCAGCCCCTAGTCCTCCCAAGCTACACCCTTGGAGGAGGCATGTCAGTTGTACCTGAAAATGGTTTCCCAAGTAGGGTGAGCCAAAAACTAGTAAAGATAAACTAACACAATATATGAGATTTAACTAAGATATAAATGCCAAGTATAATTATATTCAATGTTCACGACCAACTTATATTCTTTCCAGAACCATTCAACGTAGATTTTCATATCTCAATCCATTTCCATCCATCCATTTTAATTCAATTTATGAGTCAAGTTCATTTTCATCTAAACACACCAAATGAAATGACAATTCATTAGTTCACACTTTAACAACATCTAATATTCAAAACACTTCAACATTCCATTTTACGGAACTCACATCCGAGGGAATCAGCACCCATAATTATAAGATTTTGGGAGTTTTACCCTGGATACTCCGGCCAACTTAATTTTAAAATAGAGTTCATCCACTATCTCCTCCCAAACAATGGAGTGCATCCCTCTATCTCATTCCACAGAAAAATACATATACAATGTATTAAAAGTATCGTCATATACAATGACTATCCACGACACATTTTCCATATCGCGATCATACCATCATATTCAATGAGGTAAATTAAAAGATAGGTTTTAATTCACCTAATCCACATGCAGTTCCTACAACAATCATAGCTATCCTCCACCGATGGCCCAAAATAGATATCTCTAAACAAATATACAATCTTTTAAACAGATAATTTATCAAATTCCCATAGGTAAGTGATTCAACAAATCCAACTACACCATTCATTCATGCATCCTTCCAATTTCATATTTTCCATATCAATCTCATCATTTATGCAAACTAATTTATTTAACTCAAATAAGGGCAAATTTCCTCATTTTCCAAATATTAACCCCAAGGCCAAATTTCACCATTTTATCACTAAAGGACTTCACTCACAAGGTCCCTCAGTTATCCTAGAATCCAAAATAGAGAACCCCTCTATAATTTTTGAGATTAAACCCTAACTTCACCCAAATCGTACCAAATCCCTCAATTTATACAAAATGACAAATGCCTAGGTTAAAAATCATAACAAGGTGTAGAACATCCCTACCTCAAGAGTAGAAGCCCAAAGAAGAAAATGAAGAACTTCAAGAATGCCCAAACTCCACTTTGTTAGGATCAAAAGGAAGCCCACAAGATGCTCTATCTTTTTATCAAAGGAACTAGGGTTGAGAGATCCCTAAATCTAGGTGTATTTGTAGAGAGAGAGAGAGAGAGAGAGTATTTTAGAGAGAGAGAATGTCGTATTAGGGTTTTTAGAAGAAATGAAATCAAAAAGTGACGTAAAATGACTCAGCTGCGAACTGATATATGCGACCTTCGCTCGAGCGACCAGACACAACAAGTGACCTTGCTCGAGCGTAAGAAGTGTCGCTCAAGCGAAGAATTTCATCTTCCCATAAATGCTGCGTCTGGAAGGAAACTTGAGAACTCTCAAAACTCACTCGAGCGTAAGAAACCTCACTCGAGTGAAGAAAAAAATTTCATAAGGCTCACTCGAGCGCAACAAGTCTCGCTCGGGCGTAGAAGCCAAAATCTGGGCAGCAACAATTTTGACCAACTAGCAACCAACCTGTTCCAAACACGCCCAACACATTCCAAAACTTAAATTCAAAGAGTTAAAGTAGGAAAACAAGACATGGATACAATACTAAGCCACGAAACTCGAATCCGAAATATAACAAAGGTTAGGTCAAAATCGGGATCGCTATAGTCATTAACATAGTACTTGATAGAATGGCCAGAGAATTTAACCTACAAAGCAATCCTAACCATGATGGATTCACACAACCCATCAAGATCCACCTGAGCATTGTTAAAAATATTGTCATTTCTCTGTTTCCAAATCGACCAAAGCACTGCTAGGGGAGTTGCTCTCCAGATCATCTTCTCCTATTTTTTGAGCTTAATACCAGTGCACCAGTTTAACAGACCACTGACAGACCCAGGCATTACCCACTGTATACCCCACCAGTGTAAAATCCTAGACCAAATCCTCCAAATAAAGAGGCAAAATAATAACACATGATTGACACTATTCACCTCACCTTTACATAAAATACATCTATGATCAACACCATTCCTAAGAACTCCAATTCTGTGGAGATAGGTAGAAGTCTTAATCCTACCTTTCCAAGCTAACCAACTAAAGAACTAAACTTTGGGTGGAGAGACATTCTTCCAAATGAAATCTACTATTCTACTATTACTAACATGACTCAACTCACACCCCTTATAAACAAAGGCAACAGAGAAGAGCCCTGATGTATCTGCGGCCCATTTCAACCTATCAGATATCCCTACCCTAAGAGCAGGTGTATTGTAAACCATCTCATATAACCTCCTCAAATCCTTACCTTCCCACTGGTACATAGCGCTTCTGAAGCATAGATTGCCCTCTTCAAAACCAAACCTCCTACTGAGTACCAAATTCACAAATTTAGCTTTATCCACTGATAAGGAGTACAGTCTAGGAAACTCCTCTTTCAAGTAGACATTGCGAACCCAATGATCCTCCCAAAATTGAGCTCTCCTTCCATCCCCAATAACTTTACTTATCTTGCTCTTAAAGAAGTCAACCAGCTCAGGCCTAAACCAGGCTACACCCATAATACCTTTCCAGATCTGGGAAGATCTGGAGTTAACCACAAGTAATGGCCACCAACCCTTACCACTCTCACTGTATTTACTACAAATCACCTGCTTCCACAAGACACCATCTTCAGAACCAAACCTCCACTACCACTTCAAAAGAAGACAATCATTCATAAGTCTAAGTCTCTTGATTCCTATGCCTCATTGGCTTTTACTCCGTGAAATCTCTTCCCAACTGATCAGAAATATTTTCCTTCTAAGTTCATCATCTCCCCATAAGAATCTAGATTGAATTTTATCTATTTCCTTTGCAACTCCTGCTGGCATTTTAAACAAAGATAACTAGTAAATTGGTAAACTAGAAAGCACAGATTTTATCAATGTCAATCTACCAGCAAAGGATAGAAACCTTTTCTTCCAAGAAGCCAATTTTTGTTAGCATTTATCAATTACTGGTTGCCATATCCTCCTTTTTGTTGGAGTAGCTCCTAATGGTAGTCCCAAGTATTTGAGTGGCAGACTTTGGTGAGGGCAATTCAATTTGGAAGCAAACTCCTTAGAAAGATCATCATCAATCCCAACCCCACATACCACACTCTTATGATAATTAATCTTTAGCTCAGATAATACTTCAAAACGCCTCAGAATCTTTTTGATCGCAACAATCTCCTCCCATTCTGCCTCACAAAATAAGATTGTGTCATCTGGAAATTGGAGATGGGTGATCCTAACATCATTTGATCGTACCACAACCCCTTTAATCAACCCCCTCTGCGGAGCTCTCAACAACAGAATATTGAGACCCTCAGCCACAATATTAAACAAAAATGGTGATAATGGATCCCCTTGTCGCAATCCTCTCACCGGAATAAACTCAGATATGGGCGAACCATTTACCAAGATAGAAATTTTTGCTGAGGTTAAACACTCTCGAATCCAACTAATCCATTTATTACCACCCAAAGTTGGATAGCATAGATAAGAGGAAAGCCCAATTAGTGGAGTCAAAGGCTTTCTGAAAATATTTCTACCCCAAATATTTCATTAGTAATCAAAACTCCATCCAAAAAATTTCTACCCCCAACAAATGCTGATTGAGATTCACTAATAATACTTGGCATAACTTGCTTTATCCTGTTTGAAGGAACTTTGGCAAGAATTTTATACAAGCAACCTATTAGACTAATAGGCCTGAAATCATTAAGGCAAGTATGATTATCAGATTTTGGAATCAAAGTCACAAAAGAATTGTTGAGTCCATGAACCAATTTTGAATTTTGATGGAATACCTCCATAAATTTGATCACATCACCTTTAACTATCATCCAACATTTCTGAAACATCATCATGTTGAATCCATCAGGCCCAGGAGCCTTATTCCCTTCACAGTTTTTTACTGCTGCTACTATTTCTGCTTTAGAAAACTCAACTTCTAGTGTAGCTCTAACTTGATTCGAATACGTGGTTATAATTATTTGATCGACTTAATTTTTTGCAGAGATGACATACTCGATGAATCCTAAAATATGAACGGTTCGGATTATCAAAACGGAGTCCAAAAGTGCGCCCATTGGGTCGAACAACACCTCTCCAGTCTGATTATGGATTGGAGAGAAGCCCATATCTTAGTTTATATTAGATCGATCATATTGTCATAATATTTTTATTTTGTTGTGTTTTTCTCTAAAAGTATGATTGACTTGTGTTTTTGGAGACTAATATAGTAAAATGAAAATGTTAGGATTATTAGATTAATCTAATTTATTATTATTATTATTTATAAATGATATATATGGAGGAGCTTACAAAATGCACAATTTAAATCATTAAAATGAGACCTGTGGTAAGCTCTATAGGCCCCTCAAATTCTTTCAAGTTCAAGTTCATATTTGTTTATGAAAGAAAGCCAACCTTTATTTTATATATATTTGAATCCTCTCAAATCTTATACTTACCTAACATATATTTTAACACTTTAACTAGAGCATCCACGATCTAAATTAACAAACACTTAACCTCTGTTTGGTATTATGTTTGGTTTGGAATTTTCAAAAATAATTTTTTGAATTTTCATTTTGTATTTTTATGTTTTCAGTGATTTTTTAAAAAAATTAGATCCACTTAATCTTAATATATTTAAAAAGTATAAAATTTTTAAATTGTAAATGTCACTAAATATAGCTAAACACACAAAATTGGGTTCCACTTTTTGTCATGTAACAATTTTAACTCATATCTTTTGGCAATTATTATTATTATTATTATTATAATCAAAGAAAAGAAAATTTTATTGATGAGAGGAAATGCAAAAGATTACATTATGATAAGAGTACATAAAAAATTATACACAATAGTTACATATCCAACATCTTTATAAATAGGAGAAATTCCAAATAGATGGGATAGTCACAAAATAATGAACCACTAAAAATGATGCCTTGTTTGGTTTGTTTTTCAGAAAAATTTTTGAAAATTTTTTTCTACAAATAAATTTTCAAGAGTAATCAAACCAAACAAATTTTTTCAAAAAAAATCTCAAAATTTTGTTTGGTTACCTACTTTTAAAATCACACTCTCTCTCATACACATCAAATCAATTATTTTTTTTAAAAGTCTCTCTCCAAAATAATTTTCTAAAACCATTTCTAAAAAAAGACAAACCAAACAAATTTTCGTACTTTTTATCTCAAAAACTACTCTACAAACACAAACCAAACACACTGTGACACACATGAAGAGTTGTGCCAAGTACAAAAATGAATTTGTACCATTAATACAGGAGAGTTGTACCATCATAAAAATATAATTTTTTTTATCAATGCTCCGCTAAATATAATTTTTTTATATAAATATTGTGTAAATTTTTAATAATTTATTTATTTTAAATTCGTTACATTGCTCTTATTTTTGGCCATCCCGTGGGGGAGATGCCCTCAGGTGGGGCCGGGCAGGGCAGGGCTGCATTTCTGCTGCGATAACAGCCTTATCAAATTGTACCATGCTGCCCAGTTCGTACGATCAATCTGATTGTAAATAATATTAATAATAGTAGTAGTAGTAATTTAAAGTTTTAAAACAACATATAAATCTAAGTGTAGCTGATGAAATCTAACCAACCACACAGAGCGAAAAAATCACGTACAAGATCATGTCTTGTGGACTACCTTTGTAAACTATTCACACAATATAAACAACACCATTGACAACAAAAGCTGACTTCCAAAGCTCTCTCTCTCTCTCTCTCTCTCTCTCTCTGTAAGTAGTGTTTTGTTTAGCTGGCAACAAAAATGGAAGGAGAGAAGGGATACAAAAAAGGGTTGTGGACAGTGGAGGAAGACAGAATTCTCATGGACTACATTACACTGCATGGTAAAGGAAGATGGAATCGTGTCGCTAAGATCACAGGTCTGTGTTGTCTGAATTCGAGTCTTAATTGTTTTGTGATGCACCTTCCCTTTCTTTTATTCTCCCAATTCTCAAAAAAAATTGTATACATTGTGGGTGTAAATTATTATTTAGAATAGAGTTTCTTATATTATAATTTTTTTTTGGAATGTGGTGTAGGATTGAAGAGGTGTGGCAAGAGTTGCAGATTAAGATGGCTTAATTATCTAAGTCCAAGCGTTAAACATGGCAATTTTTCAGAGGAAGAAGATGACCTCATCATCCGACTTCACAAACTCCTTGGAAACAGGTTTTTTTTTTTTTTTTTTTTTTTTGGGCAATAAAGTTTCAATATAATAAAATTAATTAGTAATACAATATGCTAATCGACCCTCTAGAATCAATGTACAACTGATGAATAATAATGAAGGAATAAAAGTTTTTTATCAAGCTACATCATTGATCAATTATTGTCACTTCTAAACTTTTAAATTAAGCAATTATTAATAATAGTTTAACTTACAGATAAACTAATTAAAAAAAGAAAAAAAAAATTATGAGGAACACTCACGTGGGTATATTTCATCATCATGAGAAAGTTAATAAACCATTTTTTCAGCATATTGGAATAACATTTGAACTAAGGATTATTTACATAATATTATTTTCCAGTGGTAATCAAAACAAATTCATGATTTGGGTACCCCAACTTTATTGATGTCTCTCTTCCTTTCTTGTAAGGTTTTCTCATCAATAAAATTTCTGTGTCGATCAAAAAAAGCATTATTAATATTCCAGTTGTAATGAACTTGCTTGGCTCGTTCTGTCTTTAAAGCAGTTTCAATTTTTTCTTCCCTTGTTTTCTTCAGCGAATGTGCCTTTCATATTAGTCGTGCTACTGACATATTGTTAGGGCCACAACTGCTGTTATTCCTCCTTTGTTGCTATTCAATTTTAACTTTGCTCACATATATACTTATATATATACATACTCTATTTGTATACTTGTGATTTATCAATAAAGTTTCATTTTTGCTAATCATCGATATATATATATATATATATATGTACATGCTATTCTTTTTAAATAGTAGGAGATATATACTGGTATTGTGAGGAACGAACAATTTGTGTCAAGAGTTGAGTATCGTCATTTTAAAATTATCACCCATAAAAGAGCTTTATAATAGTATAAAATGTCTATCAATTGTAAATTGACTATAAACTAATATGTACCAAGCAAATTGCCTAATACATGTGTAAATATATTGGCATATATCAATATTAGAATGACAAAATTTTGATACGTATCCGTTGATACTACCCCTAATGCTGCGTTTTAGTTGATACTACCCCTAATGCTGCGTTTTAGTTCATAAATTTGAGAAGAGATTTGGAAAGAAAAAAAAAATGTAAGTAAAATATGAATAAAATATACCTACATTTCAAATATTTTTTACCTTTCCTTTTTCAAATTTCTTTTTAAATTCATGAACTAAACACAAGCTAAATAATTGTATAGCATTATTGCATTACGCATGTAATGCCTAGTAAAATGTCATGGTATGTAAGAAACATTTATTACTGCAACAATAGTTCCTCATTGTTACAAAAACATTTGCTTGTTTCTACTTTTCAAAAAATACTTTTTAAAAAATTCTATTTTCTTATTTTTCGTGTTTTTTTTTTTTTGTTTTTACTGTATTTTTTTAATATTTTAAGTAATTTTTTTTACTTTTTAGACACATCTAACATAAATACACTTAAAAAGTAAAAAAATTGTAAAAATTTTTTAAAAAATTAACTAAATATCAAAAATACAAAAAAAAAAATATAAGCATACAGTACAGTTTTTATATTTTTATGTATTTATTAATTTTTTAAAATATTTTTTCACAAATTTTTTACTTTTTAGATATATTTAAGTAAGGTGCATCTAAAAAGGTAAAAAAAATATTTAAAATTTAAAAAATATTCACTAAAAACAAAAAAAACACGAAAATCAAAAAAATTAATTTTCAAAAATCTAAAAAACTCAAACCAAACATATTGTTATGCTTTTTTGAAACAAAGTACTAGTTTGGTGAATTTGTAATGTCAAAGGTGGTCTTTGATTGCTGGAAGAGTTCCGGGACGCACCGATAACCAAGTAAAGAACCACTGGAACACTCATTTGAGCAAGAAGCTCGGAATCAGGAAGGGAAGAAGCAAGACTGGAAATTCTTCACGAACAAAAATCTCTACAAAAGTATCAGAAAATGTAAATGTCGCCATAGATGCAAATTCGAAGCCAAATTATGATTGCAATGTCGAAGCCGAGGACCAAAAGGCCATCCAAGATGGTTCCCAGAGCAATGTTGGGTTATTTGAGGTAGAAGAGCCCATGCTGAATGAGTATTGCCAAAGCCCTTTTTGGTTTTCTAATATTTTACATAGCCCTAGTTTAATTGGAATCTTGGATCAGTATTCTCCTGATTCTGTTTGGCATGGCTTGTAGACTGAATTATTTATTTATTTTTAATTTTTGAAGTCGTTTATTCTCTCCAACAGAGTATTTATTGGTAAGTTGCTTTTTCAAATAGGACTAGGATTCTCTTGAATAGTTTTTGGTGTTATAATCTTATATTGGTGGTTTAAGACTGGTTTAAATCCCAAAATACAATCAATTGATGTAAAGTTCAAGGGATTAAGCCACCTATACAAGATTTTTGCATTTAAGAACATTTACAGAGAATTTTAATCATTTCAAATAAGTCTTAGAATGCAAAAAACAAATATATAACTAGACACATAAAATACATTAATGGACAGAATTGCTTAAAAGTGTGTCTCATAACAAATTTTGTAAAATCATGTCAACTCAGGTAACTTTTTTAAATAATCTAATTCTATGAAATTTCCTGGTTTCTTGAATTATGATTGCTTTTTCAGTCATAAACTTTTCAAATGTAGATCTTACTAACAAATCTTATAAAACCATCCATTCATGTGATTTTATTTATTTATTTATTTATTTATTTATTGAATCAGAATCAATGATAAATCTTTTATATTATACATCAATAAAGAAAAAGAAAAAAGGGTTGTTTGGGAAGGGTTTTTTTGGACTAAAATTCACATAAAGATAAAATAGACTAAAATACTCAATAAGACAAAATGTCACATCAAACCCATAATCATTTCACTTTTTCTCACACAAATATCACATCTAACTATAAAAAAATCCAACTATCTTCTCAAACACAAATTTTAACATATTAAAATAGCCAAAAACTAAAATAGCCTACTAAAATAACAACTTTCCAAACACCAACTCATCCCAACTAGTTGGCACAAGCGAAACCATCCAATCATATGCAGCATCCCCTGAAGCTAGTTGAAGAGGAAATAGCCAACAAAATACAAAGAAAAACAGTATAATAACCAAGCAGACCAAAACCAAAACCATTCATAAGATTTTTTTATTTTTATTTTTTTGGGTATCTAACCTTGTATTCAGTATCTTTCTAGTATTGCCACCATTTTTTTTTTGCTATTTTGAGTATTCATGCTCACTCGCTAGACATATATGCCATCAGTTCAAAAAAGCTTGCAAGTTCATTAAGAGTATAGAAGGCTTTTACGACTTCATATGCAACATGATATTCGGTTTCCAAAGAAGACAGAACATCACACTTCAAGAACTTTTAGTTCTCCTGTAAGTTTTTTCAATTTTTTTAATGAGATTTTATCGTGTAATCATAGTAATTTAAAACCTTTTATTCCTTAAATTTATACCTTGTATATATTTTTCTAACATTTGACTTTCAATTATGAAATATATGAAGTTACTAGCTATCCATATGTGGTGAGTGTTGTGATTGCTATTGGTATGTGGTCAATGTTGTGATTCAAATTTTAGTTAATTAATAATGTATTATGGGTCCTGCTACGTTTCATGAAAACTGTCATGAAAACCATCTGCACCGTTGGATCATGAGACACATACCTGATCTAACGGTGCAGATGGTTTTCATGATAGTTTTCATGAAAATTCTTCATGACACCTAGCATTTCCCATGTATTATACATTTTTCAAATGTGTTCGTTGTATTTGATTTTAATCACGGTTATATGCTTGATTGATAGTCAGTATTTTGTGGTATAAGAATTTTTTTTATCACACGTATTATATATGTGTGACCAAAAATGCATATAACTGTGATCTTATCACATTACTAATCACGGATTATTTAAGTTCAATCTCAGGCTTTTTTTTTGTTGTTGTTATTAATCAAGGTTAAAATCCGTAATCTAAATGTTTATTATCATGGTCAAAACACATGAGGGATTAATCTTTTAATCACGGTTAGAACATGTGATAAAAAATAATCCTTAGCAACCGCACTTGAAAAGATCACGTTTTGACAATATAAAAATTTGTAATTAAAAGTGATAAATCATGGTTAATAACCGTGATCATTTTATGATTTTGTAGTAGTGTAGAAACACAAAATTAATTCACAAAAAAATACACCAAATACAAAAGTGATTCTTCTCCTCTCTATCCAGTGTTATTTTCTGTGCACCAAATTTGTGTTACTAAATTCCTAGGTATATGGTATAATGTCAACTATAATAATTGTGATGTATTAAGTTCACTTAAAAAAAAATATCATTCCAACATATAATGCTTAAACAAATCCATGAATCTTTGGCCTAAAATCAGGAAAATTTAGGTTTGCATAAGCTTACATACATTAAAGGACACTTAAGGAAACAATAAAACCTTTTAACTACCTTTTTTTAGATGTACATATGCAAATATGAAAGACCATGTACTATTACTAAGGGCCAAGGAGGGCACTGTCAAAGGATCTTGTGGAAATCCAAGAGGAGGGTACTGTGGCTGTTTTTGGGACACGTCTAACAAAGAGATGACAATAATTAAAGCCAAACAACTGGGTTTTGTAGTTTGTCTTGTCTATTTTCCTTACATAACATATATATATTAAAAAAAATTAAAAAAACACATTATAGACGAGGCTCATCTGTATATACCTATTTTGTTGTTTTTTGTTGTAAGTTGTTAGGTCACATCAGTTGAACAATAGTCAATGTAGACATTCGTCAAAATATGATCCATGTGCCAAGTTTGAGTCTTTCAATTAGTTACTAAATGTTTGTTCGGTTATTAATTTTAACACCTTGCGAGGTTAATTTTCAATTGTTCAAAACACACAAGATAATCTGGAACTAATTAGGCTAGGTGAGGCTAAGTGGAAGATACCATAAATTATAAATCAATAAATAAATATTTTATGTAGATATCAATGATAATTGCCACAATGAATTTAAAAAAAAAAAAAACTATTCATTTATTTCCAATTATTATATACCTATAAATAAGTATTGGGAAATAAGTGTTAATAAAGAATTGGGAAGTTAGCCCAATGATCTATGTAATTATTCTTTGGAATAGTGAGAGAGTCAGAGGTTTAAGATTCGAATCGATAGAGCGATTGTTGTCCTTCTATTATAATCTTACTAATCCTCTAAGGGATGTTTTGGGAACATAGAAAAAAGTTTCTTTTTTTTGCTTTTCAGAAAGGAAAATGAGTGAGAGCACTAATTAGTGCTACCACTAATGATGTGGCAATGGGTCCCACCATGAATGATTTGATGTTTTGGCCTTGGTATTGTATTTTTTTTTTAATGAGTGCCATGTCATTAGTGATCTTTTTAGAGTTTCAAAATTAGTGGTCTCTATCATTGTTATTTCAGAAATAAGCAAAAATGAGCTTATTTAAGATATGTTTACTTTTGGTAAGAGATAAATACGTCATATGTCATATGTCAAATTATCAAAATATTCTCAATTTATTTCATTGACTAGGGCATACCATATTATATGCATGAGAGTAATAGGAGAATTTTACAATTTTCATATATGATGTGACATTATATTATAATATTTTTCAAAAAGCAAAAAATAATAATAAAAAGCAATTCTCAAATGCATTTTTGAAAAAGCCAAACAAAACAAAACAAATAAATAAATAAAAAGCAACTTTTTTCTATGCTTCCAAAACACCCCTAATATGTTATCATTTGCCAAATATATATAATTAATAGTCGCTTTTACCCCATAGGTAGCGAATAATTTTCGTCTCCATTGAATGGAGATAAAGCCGCTAAATCACTATATTCAGGGTTTGTTTGGAAATTAAGTTTTTTAGTAATTTTTCATTAAAAAAAATGTAAAAAAAAAAATAGTGAGAATAAATTAATGATTTTTTGTATTAACTTTTCTATTCTTTTGTTATTTTAATGAATTGTCAAACATTTGAATTTGAGTGTCCACTTGTTGATCATTTTTCACGAATTACAATGGCAGAAGATATCAATGTATACTGTACTAGTCAACCTGATGGAGCACATTTATTTATTTATTTATTTTTGACATTCGCATTATTTTCACTAAAAATAAATATTATTGAAATATACATTATGTTTTCTGCCATGAAGCACGGGTACTCCAAAAATAGTGCCGTACGAGTACCGGGTACTTACCGGGTGCGGGTACACGTACCGGTACGGCGGTACGCGTACCCGGTACGACAAAAGAGGGTCCGATACGTTTGGCTTATTCGGGTACGGCATGGGTACGCCATGGGTACGGCGTGGGTACGCCAGGGCCAATTTTTATTTATTTATTTTTTTTCCTGCCCTTGCAGATTAGCAATTATTATTATTATTTTTTATTTTTTTTGGTGCCCTTGCAGATCAGTAATTTTGATGTTTCTCTGTTGTCCTGTTTGTCTATATAAATTGTAGAAGCATATCAACAAATGATTTTAATGTTTTTAAAAAGCAATTTGAACCAAAAAAAATAACAAGGCCTATAAAGGGTAGTTCTGTGTATGACTATGCATTATGCTTTTGCTTTAGATCCTCTTAGAATTTCTTTATAAAATTTTTAATTATAACAAACTTTTAAAGTTTATGCACAAAACATTAAAAATTGATACTGTATTAGTTGATTCGTAATTATTGGGAATGATGCAATTTTATGTATTATGCAAATTGCAATTGACAACCTGCCCCAATTGAGAATTTTTTTCCTTTACTATTGGTAATTAACTTTAAATCTTTCTTTGGTCTCCTGTTATTTCTTTGGTCTCACCCTATAAAAATAGCAAATTGATGAGCAAAAAGAAAAATTTTAAAAATAAATTATGATCACAAATTCACAGTGCATAACATGTCAAAGTAAGAGATTTCACAAATATTATTTTTAACGCGGTTTTAAATTATAGGAAAATGAGTAGTTCTTTTTTTAGTTTTGATATTTAATTTTAATTTGTAGGTTGGATCCTTTAATCAAAATTATATTTAAAAAAAAAAAAAAAATATCGGCGTACCGTAGCCGTACCCGTATCGTACTATTTTTGAGTTTTACCGAATCGACGTACCCGCACTCGTACCCGTGCCGTATTCGTACCCGCACCCGTGCTTCCTTTGTTTTCTGTGATTTAATGTTGTAATTCTCATACATAGAGATACATATGGACATTTTTCAG